CTTGGCAGGGTTGGTGGCTTTGGCAGTTTGGGGGCGGGGGAGGCTGAGCTGGAGGTGCGTCCTCTGACTTTGGACGCCTGACTGGGAGGCTGGGGCCGGTGGATGCACACGGACAGCTTATCTGGTCACAAACCTGTGTCCACTATTTAGGGTTTTTTTAAAATTGTTTTTTGTTTGTTTGTTTGTTTTTTTAAAGAGACTGAAAGGGAAAGGGAGAGACAGAAACATCAATGTGAGAGAGAGACACACATCCATTGGTTGCCTCCCTCATGCACCCGCACGGGCCAGGGATCAAGCCTGCAACCGAGGTACCTGCCCTTGACTGGAATTGAACCCAGTACCCTTCAGTCCACAGGCCGACGCTCTGTTTACTGAGCCAAACAGGCTAGAGGGCTACAACGCAGAGTTTTTACCTTATTTCCTTCTGAACTGTTGGGATTTTTTTTGTTGTTTTTTTTTTAAGGAAAGGCATTGGGGTGGTAGCCTCTGCCCCACTTCCAGATGCCACTCATTTCATTTTAAGAAAAAAACCTGAAAGAATGCCCTCAAGCTCCATCCTGGGGTGAAAATGGGCTGTTTTCAGATCCTTACCGCAGACTTACTTATGCAAATTTGCTTCATCATAAGAATCACAAGGAGAGACTCCTACTAAAGCTCAGATTCCTGCCCCCCCCCCTTTCTCATTACCGAGACCCTTTGGAAATTCATATTTGAAGCCAGTGTCCCCGGAGAACTGGTCCAAAGGGATATTTTGTGCAGCCTCTGTGGGTCTGGGGGAGGGGGATCTGCATTTCAAAGATCTCCCAGGTGACGCCCGGAGGCCTGAAGTAGGAGAGGAAGGGCAAGGAGAGTCCTGGTGTTGGAAACCTAAAGAGAAAATTGGGGATAGAGAAGGTAGTATGAACCGACTTGTCCATCTTGCTGCTATCTTATTGTTGCTGCATGTTCAGGGATGTTTGTTGCACAGACCGAATGGCGCAGGTATTGCCTGTAGAGTCTGCTAGGTGGAGAAGAGATGCACGTCCACTCCAAAGTCAAGACAGTAAAGACACCTTCACGGGGAAATGGAGACCAAGTGGAGCCTGGGTGGGAAGTGGGTTAAATGCAGCTAATTCAGAGGGTGCCTGGGCCAGGTTACTGTTAAAGGACACCTCCCCCACCCCCTGCTCCAGGTCCCTGCCCTCCAGGTGTTGTAGGCACCACGTATCTGACTGGTGAGGTCAGACGAAACCTGGGTTCAGCAACCTCGGTACTTGGGTTCTGGCTAGGAAAGGATTCAAAGTCCAGACCCAAACTGTAAGAGAACGTTTCTCAGGTAAATTATAGAGGTAGGAAAAGTGAGTCCTAGAAGATGTGGGCTTAGCAAACAAGTTCTAGAGGTAAAGGAAGGGCCCCTGGAGCTTGGCAGTGAGGAAGCAAACGGTGATGTGCCTGAGGGTGGGAGGGAGAGGAAGGGGAAGGGAAAGGCAGGGGTGTGCTCTCTGGAGGGAGAATGCACTCGGTCCTCTATCCTAAGGGTGTTAAGGGCAGAGATTTCAGGGGAGATCCAGGGAAAGATCTTAAAGGAATATTCAGCAGTTTTCCCAGTGTGTCCACTAAGCCCCCCACCCCTTCCCATTCCGCCCCTCAAAAGGCGTGCCCACCCCTGCACGTGCTGCTGTCCTCCCCTTGCGAGACAGCCCGGCAGGTGCTTCTCCTCTAATAAAGCCTGTAGTCCGGGTTTTCAGCCTGTGTCTGATCTTTCGGTCTCCACTGATTGGCTGGCCGCCACCAGGGGGTCATTATTCAATGCAGCTGGTCCTGAGGTCAGCAACCAGTGGCTGGTTTTATTGCTTACCTGGGCCTGGAGCTGAAATACAACTGTGGCCTAGATGTTATCTCTAGGAGGAAGGGGGGGGGGGTCCAAACCTCATGGCCAGCAATATGAGAGGGGAGGAAAGGTCACCCTGGGGGCGAGGTCCTACCCTACAGTTGATTGTCCCTTGCTAGGCACCTGGGGGCTTTCCATCCTGGCTTCTGCACCTGGCCCATCTTCCTTGCTCTGCTCGCATCTGCCAACAGCACAGGGATGTGTCTAGTCAGGGGTGGGCAAACTTTTTGACTCGAGGGCCACAATGGGTTCTTAAACTGGACCGGAGGGCCGGAACAAAAGCATGGATGGAGTGTTTGTGTGAACTAATATAAATTCAAAGTAAATATCATTACATAAAAGGGTACGGTCTTTTTTTTTTTTTAGTTTTATTCATTTCAAACGGGCGGGATCTGGCCCACGGGCCGTAGTTTGCCCATGGCTGGTCTAGATGCCACCAGGTTGGTCACCTGACTTTGTGGTAGAGGATGGAGGAGGAGGAGGTGACAGGAAGTTGCACCCTGTTGGACACCATCCGGGGGATGGGAAGAGGGGCCCCAGAATCTATGGACAGGGTCCCAGTGCTGTTTGTCTGCGAAACTGGGCAGAGTGGCTGGACCTAGTTGGGGGGACCTTCCTCAACAATGCAAACAGCAGAGTTGAGCCAGAGGGCGCCGGGCTTGGCACAGGGTGGGGGCCAGGGCGCACCTGGGTGACTTGGGGTAGGTAACGTGGGGTTTGGAAGCCTGCGTGAGACCAGCCCGGAAGAGGGGAAGAAGGGGACAGGCAGGGAACATGCCAGAGCTTCCTTCATTCTCGAGAAACAGCTTGTGCTCCTAAAGTGGTGACGGGTAAGATAACGGTGACGTTGGATCTGTGCACTATGAACGCTAGGAATCCAGTGCTATCTCGGCGACGCCTCGAAACAACCCTGGGTTAAGAACACTGATAATGCTCATCCCATGAGTAAGGAAAAGAGCTTCCAGAGCAAAGCGGGCCTCTGGGTTGCCAGAGTGGGGCTGAGAATTTGCATGACTAACACATTCCCAGGTGCTGCCTGCTGGTCCTGGGGCCCTACTTTGAGAACCACTGGTTTAAAGACCACACACATGGTCTGAACCTCTAATGTTAAAGGCACCTCCGTGACTCCGGAATCTTGCACTTAGGGGTGGGAGCTGGGCCCCAGATGTATTTAGCAGGAATAGAATGAGGCTGGGGTGGGAATGGGCGTGGCCCTGGGATGGAAGGAACCCCCAGCAGCTTAGTTTGCTAGAAAGAGCCTCAGCATTTTGGAATCAAAATTCAGCCCCAGGGTGGCCTTGGGCAACACCGGCCTCAATTTCTGCTTCTTTAAAATGGGCGCGTTATTCCCTACTTGGAGGTTTCTATGCACAGCAAGGAGTGTGACTGCTATGCTTGCTATGATAATTAGGTCCTGCCTCGTCCTGCCTGCTCCTCAGCCTCTTGAGTCCTCTGGTGCCACCTGTGCCCACCTGAACACTCAGCCAGCCCCAGCCTCTCGGGCAGGTGTTCTCGCCATGGACCCAGTAGAACTGGCTCCTTTTGACCTTAGGAAACCCAGCTGGACCTGCGCACGGGGATGAGCATCAGCTCGACCTGTCTGCTAGTCCCTACCTTCGCGGTGGGCCTCATTCCTGCGAGCCACCACCTGGACCCCTGTCCCTCTCTCTGGGCCCAAGGCCCCTCCGGGGAATCAGATTACCTCCCAGCTCCACCCAGGAACTGTCCTGCAGGAGACCTGGAGGCTGGCTTCTGCATCCCACGAAGGGAGAGCTGGATTGGATTTCTGACCCACTGGGCTGCCTGTTGGCCAGAGCACCCCATTACTCTCCCAGGGGTCTCCTCCTACTGTCACACTCACTGTCACGCCTCCTAGTCCAGTGGGCTGCACACGGCTTCTACTTGTGGACCCCCCCCCTAAAAGAATTTTGAAAAACTAAGTACCAATTATTTTTCTTTCTTTTTTTTTTTAAATATACTGGGGATCGAGCTCGCAACCAGGTATGATTTTAGAGAGGAAGGGAGAGGGGGGAGAGAGAAACATCAATGATGAGAGAGAATCATTGACTGGCTGCCTACTGCACGCCCCCCACTGGGGATCAAGCCCGCAACCCACGCATGTGCCCTTGTCCGGAATCGAACCTGGGACCCTTCAGTCTGCAGGCTGACGCTCTATCCATTGAGCTAAACCAGCTGGGGCACCAATTATTTTTCATTAAAGCGTTGACTAAGTATGTTTCACAGGAAGTAGGACATATTAAACACTTCATAAACAGAAATAAGATGAAGACAGACAGTGATTGGAAAATATAATTCATGATATGACTCAATAACATTGACTGAATGAGTGCACTGACTGAAAAAAAAGTATATGAAATGTTTATTATTTAAAAATATATATTTTTATTGATTTCAGAGAGGAAGGGAGAGGGAGAGAGATAGAAACATCAATGATAAGAGAAAATCATTAAGTGGTTTCCTCCTGCACGCCCCACACTGGGGATTGAGCCCGCAACCCAGGCATGTGCCCTGACCAGGAATCGAACCGTGACTTCCTGGTTCTTAGGCCGACACTCAACCACTGAGTCACGCCAGCCCGGTGAAATTTTTATCTCTGAATTTTAATCCATACATTTTGACATTTTTTTGGTAGACGATCTGG